AATTGCACAACCACACAATCGGTACAGCTACTTTTATTCATTGTCATAAAACTGTCTCCTTCATAACATAAATACTCAATAAATAACACACATTCCAAAAATATATCTCTGATATAAGTCTAAGACACCACCCTAATTGGGTTTATTTTATTGCAGCATTAGTTTAACTTTGTATCTAGACCTGAAGATGCTTTGCAAATTGTAGAAAGCGAAACCGGTCGTCTGATTGTTAAATTAATTGATTGTGAGTAAGTCTTATTATTATTTCTTTACCTATTTAAAAATAAGTTACCTATTAAATGAGGCAATGTTGACAAAGTAGTTTAACATCAGCAAGAGGTCAACATATTAACTATCGTCTAAAGAAAACTTGTCGTATGATGAAGAACTATTGCAATCACTATTAGTCACATTGATAATTATTTAAAGGTTCAATGAAAACATCCACTTTGGTGTATTGATTCCTAGATTCTGCTTTCTTCTTATCTACATAGTATGTACAATGCAATTTTTCCGAGAGTCTGGCCTAACATTTTCTATAGGAGTAGCTAGCAGACTTTTCACATCATCTATTTTAAAAGTTTTCTAATTTAGTCTAAATAGTAGACCTTTCTTCCCTCGCGACGATAGTCTTGGACTTTTTTCAGGTAATATATCCGCCACAAAATAAGTTCATCTCTTTCTTTAACAATACTGTTATTATTACTTTCCATATTTACTGTTCATTTACCTACATGTTCAAACGTAGAATTATTATTATAGAAATATTCACGTTATTCTGAACATTTTTTGTTAATTTATTTATCGTATGGCACTTGACACACTTACATTGAAATTTACATATATATTTTGCATAAAACATAATACATATGTTTACAAACGAACATCTAACTTATTTATATAGTCTTGAAGTCATCATTAGGAAATCCTCTGGCCTGCCATGATAGGATCTTGTGGGACACTGTTCTGTGATGTGACAGATGGTTTGTGGTTGTCCGCAGTTACAGAGTGGGGATGGTCGTTTATCCCAGTTGTGCATCATGTAACCGCATTTGCCGTATTGGGTTCTGATTCGGTTCAGCATAGTCCATGTGCTGCGTGGTAAGTCAAAACCTGGGGGTTTTTGTGTGTGGTGCAGGGTAAGCTGCTATTTTCGTGTTCTATATATTCTCTAGTACTCTAGTCCAAGTGGTCGTTAAGTTGAACTCATTTTCAACAGCTTCTGTGATGTTTTTATTGGCGAAGTCTGGAGCGTAGACGTTTATCAGTATCTATAGTATCTATATCTTGATGGATTGGTAGGAACTCGTTACTAAGTATCTTTCTGTACTCACCAGTGAAAGAGTGTATGCGCCGTAGTTTCGGTGGTGGAATGTGGCTCAGTACTAGGAGCCATTGCGCAGTGATGGATTTGATAACGCCAGTAATCATTCTCATTGTATTGTTGAACTGGGCATCTACTTTGTCTATAATAATATGTGGTGTATTGAGCCAGGCTGAAGAGCAGTATTCCGCGGTTGAGAAGACAAGGCCCAGGGCAAATGATCGCAAGGTGGAAGCCGATACTCCCTATGTTGTACCGCACAGCTTCTGGATAATGTTATTTTTGGATTTGTTTTTCGGCTGTTTTTTGACAGCTGTTCCTTGAAAGATAGGGTTCTGTTAAGAGTCACCACAAGGTACTGTTACGATAAATATGTCTCATAAATATTCCTTTTTAATTCTGACATGTTCTAGATTTTACCAGCTGGCAGAAATTCCAGGTAATACCTACCTGAAACGATTAGTCTGCGACGATTCGAACTTTCCGGAATCAGGCCGCTATAAAAACCAGCCTGACTGATCTCCCCTTCATTCGAGATCACTCGCCGCTCAGCTGTTCGAGACCGGTCTGTTGTGTGGTTCCTTCCAAACGGGTCTCCCTCAGCTAAAAACATCAGTATGGCGTAACTTTCGCGACGCGAAATTCTAAATGAGATAAAAACTAGAAAGATGGAATACTTGGGGCACATTGTGAGAGGTGAAAAAGTACGAACTTTTAAGAAACATCATGCATGGTAAATTTAAGGGCAAAATAAGTGTGGGAAGAAGAAAAAATATCGTGGGTTCGTAATCTACGTGAATGGTTCGGGTGTAGTTCAATTGAACTTTTCAGGCGCGCTGCTAACAAAGTCGCAGTGGCCATGATGATTTCCAATCTCCGCTAGGAGTGGCACGAGAACAAGATGGCGTGACTTTCCAGTCTTTTCGCCAAGGGTCAGGAAGGTCGACGAGATTTTCAATCAACGGTGCTTTGTATATAAGAACGAGGTTTTATTGGAGTTGGCCAGTCCGAAATAAATATTGTAAATACATAAATAATATAAATTATAGTAGTTGTGTTTTAGTTCTTAGTAATAAGTGAATATTGTAATAAAGACTTTAATAGACTTGTGTTATAAATGTAGAACCTTTGATAATAAATAAAGACAATAAATTAGAATTAATAAAAACACAACAGTACTTTTTATTGTAAGCGAGTGTGGTGTTTTTGAATTGGATGTTGAGAGTTCTTCCTGAAAGCTTGGTATTTCGGTGGAAACTGGAAACCTCTGTTTTGATAGTATTTGGTTGGAGCCTCCATTTACGGAAATACTTTCGCACTGTTTTTAAGTCCGCCGTGAGTTTGTATATCATGCCTTCTCTCCAGAATGTATCGTAGACCGCTGTTAGTTCTATTAATGAGGCTGCAGTTTTGAATTTTCTCTGAAATCCTGTCTCAATAAATGTGGTAAGTGCTGATCTGCGTAGCTTCTTTTCGGTCGGAAATCTGCCTGATCAACCGGTATTGATTCAAGTAGCTTTGGACTAATTCTGTTGTAGATAAGTCGTTCTAGTAGCTTGAACGTCGCCGATAGTAGGGCTATTGGTCTGTAGTTCTTAGGGTTGTTATCATTTGGTTTTCCTGGTTTAAATATGATAATGACCTTCGAGAGTTTGAGTTCCTGTGGTATGGTACCCATCTTCATAATGTCTGTGAAAAAGTGGGCCATCCAGTCTCTATCATATTTGCCGCTGTTAATTAAAAATTCGAGATGAACATGTTTCCATGTCTCCATGTTTGCCTACTTGATGTTTGAAAATTAAGACTTTCTACAGTTTCCGTCCATTTTTGTTGTCTCGCTGCATCTAGGCCATGAAGCAGTTCATCGGCTAATTCTTGATCGCCGCTTTCAAATTCTGGTACAGTTCTTTGCTGTTATGGGACCAACCAGGAATGTATTCTTTTTGATAGCCTCTTGATATATGCTTTTTTTGGGCGCGCTAATTACGGCTCCAACGAATCTTTTCTAATTTCTGATGATATGAGGTATCCAGCCAAGAGTCTTGTTCAGTTCCGCAAAAAACCTACATAGCTTTTTTTAGATTCCACCGTGGGCTTTTTTTTGTTTCCCTATAGATATTGTGAACCGTTTTTGAGTTATGATGGTTTTATATATGGAAATTCCACTTTCCTACCAAATATATATTATATATATATATATATATATATATATATATATATATATATATATATATATATATATTTCAATATCCTCACATGTAATTTGCATTTACGTTAAACACATACATCTTGATCGTTTACAGTGTAAAGTTGTCTCTGCTATCAACAAGTCCTCACAGACACTTCGTCTAAGGACTAGCAACCCCAGTGATATGAAATATGAGACTAGCAACCCCCAAATATGAAACTCAAAGTTAATCAAACTACATTTAAAGGGTTTAACCATATATTTAGTGGCTTCAAATATGCACATCTAGATAGCACAGATGATGCAAATAGTAATTCCGAAAACGTTCTGTAATGAAAATTTATATACTACTTTACTCTGAAGCTAATCGGCTGAGTGGACACCAACAGATAAAACCCGTACAAATACATGAAGATACAAACATCAGCTGGTAAGTTTTGGCTTCCGTATTTTGAAATACCTTAAGAAAGAAATAACCACCACTAGTACGTATAATAAGGCGTTTTTGGTGCCTTTGAAGGAGGAAATTGCACCTAGACACTATAAGTAACAACATAAATTGTGAAGGTGAAAACACTAAAAGAATTACATATACTTCGAATTACTTTCGTAACGAAAGTATTTTCTCTATCCTTCTTGTGACTATTAGCTGCTTAAGACTTCAATAAAATATTGAAATATTTGAATAAATGATGACGTTATTGCGAAAATCTGGACCTATTTATTCAAGTTAAAAATATCTATGTTGATGAGGAAGAAAAAATTTTGTCTACACGTTGACTTTTTGCTAGAAATTATTAAGTAAAGTGATGAATAACTGGCACATATTGAGCAATGTGATTCCTACTAGACATATATCTGTGGCATCGCTTTCTTTGATCTATGCAAATGCACATATCTTTATTTCAAACTATCAAGATATTTCTGCTTAGGTCTTTACGAGAATTTTTATAAAACTATTAACATTAATCATGTGATACTCATTACCAAGTTTACGTTTCCATCAATTTTATGGTGTGAGCCACTTTTACGGTATGATTTATTTTAATTTCTCTATAAACTTTACACTTTAATATGCATTCACATTTAAATTCAAGAAACCTTATGTGAAGTTATTCTCATCCGGAATGGCGAGTTAGTGAATGTTATTACTTAATAACCATTTTCATCTAATGGATGCTTCATGAAAATAAATATATAATTACCTTAAAACTTCTAAATATATATATATATATATATATATATATATATATTATATATATATATATATATATATATATACTGGCAGGTAAATGAAAAAATACCAAGTTCTCGGGAACAACTGCGTAAAACCCGACCTTTAGATCCCCATTTTGGAGCCATTATCAACAGCGATATGGTTCCGTTTGAGTTCGGGGTCTCAATCGGCCTACACAAGTGAGGGGAGTAAACCCTGGGTACTAAGACGTCTCATTTTAACACAAAAAATTGACATCACGATATACTTACAAAGTTGCGGCGAATATGAAGTATCCGATGCGGGAGCATTGAAGGCACTCTCTGGTTTGGCTACAATGAGGACGACGCGATCTTGCGTTGTTTTTAACGTCGCTACGGCATCCTCGTGAGTCACATTTTCTAGATTCACTTCTCCTTTCTGTAACAATGAGAATATTGTATTTGAATAAAAATATTAACTACGTCTAATACAAAAAAGGAAATATGTAACCTTACGCGTGTTATACATAAGTAATGATAAATGTATGCACTATTTTGATAAATTGTCTAGCCTTCTTCTTCACGTGCCGTATCAGAATTATTCGGTATTAGCGATCACCAGTGAGAAGGTTTATTTTGACTAAGATTGCTATTAACGGAAGGGCACTATCAGCTGGTTTTAAAGAAAATCCAGCATCAAAACTACATATTTGGATTTAAAAACTTTTTATAATGTGCACCGTTGCGTCTACCGTCCTGAAAAGGGAAAAGATGATGAAGAAGAAGAATAACAGTTTATTTATAGCAGAAATAGCTTTGATAGTTTCCCTTGTTTTGTATTCCCCGATCATGATTCCTATGGTATTGTAACGAACAAGCTAATTTAGACATACTTCATTGGCAACGGTTGCATCTCTCGAAACGATTATGTGTGTTCGAGAATCTTCAAGATGTATCGTGCGTTCTCACAAACGAGAATAGAGATGGACCATTCTTTAAGATCAATACGAAAGTGCTACCACCAGTTAATGCAATAGTTTTAGATCCAGTAGTGAACGAAGAATCACCGAGAGACGAAACAACACATCATATGAGATTCAAGTTTCCACCATTTGATGAGAAGTCTTCTTGGTCTATATATCTTAGTCAATTTGAAGTGATTGCGACAGTCAATAATTCGACAGAACAAGAAAAGCCTGTTTGCTTGACTGCTGCTGTACCATGTGATCCTGCGGATATCCTAAGATCGATTCCTAAGGTTCAAGAAAAATATTATCAGACCTTATTCACTCAACTAGAAAAACGCTATGGAGATGCCCATCTACAACAAATCTAGAAAGTACAACTAAGAAATAGAATTCAACAACCAAGTGAGAATTTGCAATGATTTGAAGCAGATGTTGCTCGTGTAGCGCGGTTGGCTTATCCGGAGGCACCAGACATATTGGAAGAAATTGCTGTAGATACCTTCGTCAGTATGTTGAGAGGCAGTGAACTGCAGAAAGCTTTACGACTATCAGGACCGTAAGTTTTAGATAAAGCGCTCGCCATTGTCTTGGAACACGAAACAGCTAGTCAAGCTTGATGGAGCTATCGAGTACAAACCTCTGAAGAAGGCGACGGACAAAACGATAAAAGTCTGGAGAAAATCGTACGGAAAATAAGTCGTGACACGATACCGAAGAGCAGTCAACAAAACCATGATAGCCTTGATGAGCGCTAACATCCGGACCGGATACGGCACTGAAGAAGAAGGTCACAAGAAGACTCCGTAAGACCAGGGACATCCTCGAGAAGAACAGGATCCAGAGGATGCATAGACACACCCATAAACTGATCGACCATCTGATCAGGTAGGAGGAAACCACCCAGAGAAGTCCAGGATGCCGAGAGGGAGAAAACATCAGAAGCTGCCGGTGCAAGAGCGGGACGTCGAAAGAAGAAAGAAAACAAAAATATACAAAATGAAATGTCATATATTATTAGGCAATGGATGTTTTTATTTTTATTTTTTTATTTATATTAAAACGTAGTAGCAACCAACTTCAAAATAACAAACAAAAGTACCAATTTAAATCGCCGCTTATTTATAAATCAACAAGAAACTTTTAAGTGTTACGATCCGAACGACAAAAACTTACGTGTACTTCGTTAAATCTATTTTATGTACACAAACTCCCTACCGACAGAAAACTTCCACCAACGCCAGCAGTAAATACCCACGAAACAAAACAGAAAGTGCTTATGCAAAACAGTTAAAGTAGGTACATAAATAGAAACAACAAAACACAGTGCGAAAATTTACAACATTCCTCTCTCTACCGAACAACTTGTCTTTCTTATACGGTTAAGATGCTTTTCAGTCGCTGGCAAAGATAAATAATCCGTAATTAGATAAGCAAAACTCCCAACTCCATCAAATATAAACTTCCGACCGAACGGAAGAGAATACACGGGAAAACAAAAAGAATTTATGCGCAATCCCCACAAAGTATCCGACGTTCGTTTTAAATATAGCATTTTGTAATAGGGCATGTACAATTAATAAATTTTCCATTGCACCGGTTTTTATAAAATTCATATTAGATAATTGTAGATCAAAATCGAAAAATGTTACTTTATCATCAGTATTAAATGTATTTTATGGAATTTACATGGTACCGGGTAACTTTTGGATTTTGGAGATATGAAGTTGAGATTCGGTGGCCGGTTTCCGTGGAGGAATGGAAGAGTTCTGAACTAAGTAGTGATTCTTCAACACTCCGCATAAGGCAGACTGGGCGGGGAAGTCGTCAACCCCGACACGGCGCGTCCCATATAGGGGACGTTCTGTATATTATACAGGATAGGTGCGAATAAGGTTCGCCAAATAGTGTAAGGTAAGGAGAAACCAATACACTAAATATTCTCAACATATAGACTATGGCAAGTTATAGAGAACAAAAGGCCCCTAGTCCGTGGCAGACCTTAAATGGTCAAGGGGTGGAACCTGGAATGCAAAATCTCTCTTTATGCCAGGAAAATCTAATAACATCGTGAGACAAATGAAAATAATAGGAGTCAACATTCTCGGAGTCAGTTAAGTTAGGTGGCCTGGATCTAGACAGACAAACATCAATAACCATGTAATATACTATACTGGTAAGGACGATCCCATCATTATAAATGTGTAAAGAACTTTATACCTATATCTGATTGAGTAGCTATGCTACAAATTAATACCACTCCTCGAAATATTAACTTTATTCAAGCATATTCTCCTACAGAAGAAAAACCAGAAAGAGAAATACGAGAATTATACCAATACATCAAACAGCTAATGAAGATTGCAAAGAAAAATGCTGTAAACATTATTATGGGAGATTTTAATACCAAAGTAGGTGAAGGGCGGAACGAAGAGGTAGTCGGAAACTTTGGTTTGAAAAATAACAAATAATAAATAATAAAATAAAATAAAAAAACAAATAATAAAATAAATGATAGAGGAGAAATACTGGTCCAATTTTACCAAGAAGAAAATCTAATGATCGCAAACACCTGGTTTAAACTAGCAAAAAGAAGATTATATACATGGAAAGCACATGGAGATAATCAAAACCACATAATATAGATAAAGAAACCAGATTAATTATATATTAATTGACAAGCGTTACAGAAATGGAATCAGGGCAGTTAAAACATAACCCGGGATGGACATCGATTCCGACCACAATCCTGTAATCAGTAAAATCTCAATTAAACTGAAGAAAATTAAAGGCAAATAGAACATAAAACATAGCCTCGAAAAACCGAAAGATTCAGCAGTACAGGAAGAGATATAGAAAATACTCAATGATACACTAAAAGAAAAATTCACTGAAGAAACCGCGGTAGCAAAAGAATCAGTAGAAAGTATTTGGCACACCTTCAAAATAACAATCAGAACTATACAAACAGAATAACTACAAGATAACACAAGAAAAACAAAAATTACGTGGATGACAAAAGAAATCCTAGAATTGATGGACGTAAGAAGATCTTACAAAAACAGCAATGAAGTAAAATATAAAGAAACCCAGAGAACCATCCGAAACAAAATCAGGAAATCTAAAGAAGAATGGATGAACAGCATATGTAGGGAACTGAGAAATTACTAAAAAAACATGACTACTTCAAATCGTGCAAAAAGATTAAGTAAGTCATAAATATGAAGAAAAAATTCACTACAACAACTCTAGTAGATGATAACAACCAAATAGTATCTAGCCCAGAAAATGTAAGAAATAAATGGGAAAAATACATCGAAGATCTGTTTCATGGCGAGAGAACAGAACCACAAATGAATATAGTACCAGACACAATACTTGATATATTAACATCGGAAGTTACAAAAACAATCAATACGGCAAAGCCACGAAAGGCTGCAGGTCCAGATGAGATATATTTCTGTAGAGATGATAAAACTTATCAATGAAGAAAATATTTAGTCCTTAACACTACTATTTAACAAAATATATACAACTGGAATCTTCCCAGAAGAGTGGCTTAGATCGACATTTATGCCTATACCCTAGAAAAATAATGCCCTAGAATAATAGATGCTCACAGTTCAGATTAATTAGCCTGATGAGCCATTTTCTGAAAATATTACTGCAAAATTATATATACATAGAATGCGAAAGATAATCTAAGCGACAATTCATAATGGGTTTCCTATGGGGCTTGGTACGAGGGAGGCATTATTTGGTCTTCAGATATTACTACAAAAATGCCGAGATCAACGAAAAGACGCGTTTCTCTGTTTTATCGACTAAGAAAAAGCGTTAGATCAAGCGTCATACAATCGTATGACAGCAGAAATGTCAACAAAAAGAGAAGTTCCCCAAGGCTGCATACTTTCTCCACTATTGTTTAATATATATTCCGAAAATATCTTTCAAAATACTGAAGGTAACATGAAGGTACCATAACCAGAGAGGAAGATAGCTTGAGGCTGAATGTAAACACAAATAAAACAAAAGTAATGGCCGTTACACGTGCACCAAATGCCGACATTAATATTCGTATCTACAACAAACAGATAGAACCGTACAAAAATTCCAGTATCTTGGTTGCTGCGTTGCTGGATAACAAACGATCTTGACTACGAAGTTGAAACACGTGCTCGTATAGAGTATGCTAGGTCCGCTTTTCAAAGAATGAAGAAATTCTTAATAAACTCTATCCTATCGTTGGATATCCGATACCAATTTGTAAAAACATTCATTTATTCCATATAGCTTTACGGAGTGAAAACAGTGAGTCTTGGAATCACAAGTATGAGACGTGTAGAAGCCTTTGAGATGTGGGTTTTTCGAAGGATGCTAAAGATCTCCTGGACATAGCACCTGATCAACAACGAGGTGCTGAGAAGAATGGTGACTGAGAGAGAACTCCTAGATATTGTAAAAATCTGAAAAA